TTGTGTATAATAATTAGAAAATTCCTAGATATATGCTCCACAATTTATTTTGATTCTCTGGGGAATCAAAAGAGAGAAGGTCACTTAGGATTTGACAAACTTTTGATATCATTATTATCATGTCAATAAGGATGTACAGAAGTATTTAATGAGAAAGATACCCCCCTTCCAGGAATTATTTTTAGATCTCCACTTTCCTAGTATTGAACTATAATTTTCAGAATGTGGATTATTTTTTATTCCAAAATTTTTTCTGATAAGATATCTATACTCTGAGCCACTAGTCTACTTTATTCTATGTTTATAAGTCAAAATATTAGAATATTAATAGAACTATTTGTTATTTCTTCTCTTGTAACTTGATCTCTCAATTCTTAGTAAGAATATATAACCACTTTTACTTTTTAAGGGTAAAATTATCATTATAGTGTTTCAATGCTTTGAACTTTGCATTAAAATCCATCCTCCAGAGATCAGTGTTTAAATGCAAGTAGCAAAAGACAAAATCGCCCAAGAAAGAAATGCAAATACCATGGGAACTGACAAACTCAAAACAAACAACAAAAACCCCCACATTTTCTGTTCTAGCCTCTTATTACTTAATTGAACTCTCAGAATCTTTTTATTGACAGTAACTGGACCCAAGCAGTAACAATATTCACAAAAACAAAGAACAAGTGTCAGAAGCAAGCTTATTGTTAATAACCTTAAACCTCATTGTTCCTTGAAATCATACTTAATCCTAATGTATTATTATGTGGGTGTGTGTTTCAAATTCAGTTTTTAGAAATTTTTATCTAGGAGTATGCCCTTTGTGCTATGTTTAGAGAGACGAAAATTATACAACTTGCTCTGACCACACAATCATGATTAGCATATACCCAAAGTTTTATTCAAGGAGAAGTTCAGTATCTGATCACTTTAAGTAACCAGACATAGAATTTAAAGTGGCAGAAATATTGAGAAACTTACTATCCTCTATGAGATGTCAAGTAGGAGGAGAGTTTAATGTTGTTTACTTTTTCCTCTGCCTTCTTTTACAGTTCTGTTTCTCTTCATAATTACAAGATGGCAAAAGCAGTTCCTAGCATCACTTGCAGACTCCACTATGCCTGCAAAAAAGAGAAACGACCTTTCCTCCCTTCGGTCTCCTTTTTTTAAATTTTTTTTGAGGAAGATTAGCCCTGAGCTAACATCTGCTGCCAATCCTCCTCTTTTTGCTGAGGAAGACTGGCCCTGAGCTAACATCCATGCCCATCTTCCTTTACTTTATATGTGGGATGCCTGCCACAGCATGGCTTGTCAAGCAGTGCCATGTCTGCACGCGTGATCTGAACCGGCGAACCCTGGGCCGCCAAAGCGGAACATGCAAACTTAACTGCTGTGCCACCAGGCCGGCCCCGGTCTTCCTTTATTAGGAGAAGTTTTTGCTAGAACTCACAAGCAGACTGCCCATCAGAACTCATTGGTGAGCATCAGATCATATGCCCTTGCCTAGCTGCAAAGGAGGCTGGGAAAAGAAGTTCTGGCATTTTCCATCTTTATAAAGGCAGATTGGTTCTGTCAACAAAGAATAAGAGGTCTGGTGAAAGATAGGTTAAATGTGTCAAATAATGTAAAGTTGAATAATGCATATATTTCTCATTAAACCTAAAAATGTTATCAAGCATAGTACTCTGTACTAAATATAGAAAATAATTTATTTTAGTGCTGTTGCACTTGTCTTGCTTTCATTGACCTCTAGAACCATTTCATGCACATTAGTAAAGACTATGAGCATTTTAGAGAACTCTATGAATAGAAACAGAAACTTTGAGAATTTACTTTTGATTTTGAATAACTTCTTATACCATTTATTAAACTATTGTCTCTCAACTTTAAACCCAACCTTCTGTAGTCCACTTTGTGAAGCTGGAATGTGAATTACTCACCACACTTTTCCTTCTTCTGTGGGCTACCTGTTTGGCTCTGCCATTAGAAGGCACTAGGGAGTGAGCAGAAGGCTGGAAGAGGATGAAAGGACTTGCTCCATCTTATTTCTCTCTGAGTCTGCCTTTCTGCTTGTTATTTTCATGCACCCTAGAAACACTTTTTCACCCTGCAGTGGTAGATCATTCTGGTAGCAGCAGCTGATTCCAGTTTGCAGTTTTTCCAGTGCTCACAGAACTAATCCCAGTGTGCCTCTTCAGTGACACCAGCACAGTTGGCTGGAACATCATCCTTAAAGGTCTGAGTGCCAGCTTCACGGGCAAGTCCTCTAAGCTCAGAGACGAGACACCAGCCCAGCCAGTGAGGCTTCATCACAGTTTATGGGGCACCTCCTTTAAACTTCTAAATTTCAATCATCTCAACCAGTTGATTGTGTTTCTCCAGCCCAAGGGGAGGCTGCTTCCCGACGGGGAAGAGATGGGAAAAAGAGGGGGATAGTGATTTTTTGGAAAAAGAGGAACTCAGGATATCAATGGTGACAAGGAAAGAACCGAAGGTGGTAGCAACAGTAACAGATGTCAGAGGAGATGGAATATTCCCTGGTTATCTTTATAAGGAAATGGAAAAGGAAGGCTTTAAGTTTTGGCACTGTGCTTTATAACAGATGATGACAAACTGACCCCTCCAGAATCGTCAGATTGACCTAGACCACTTACCTTGCGCTACTTGGGCCTAACTGGAATTCATTTCAAGAAGACAGACTACTCACGAAGTCTTAAGGATCTTAAGGTCTTAAACCCTCAAAGACTGACTGAATGAATTCACACCCAAAGGGGGAAACATCTTTCAAATTCACTTTAAAAGCTTTCAAAAATGCTACTTAAAACTAGAAGGCAGGAGAAGCAAGATTACAGTCAGACAAATTCTGTGAAATATTTGGGGCAAGAGTTGGGATAAAGTGGGCAGGAAGGGAAGGACTGCAACATTTGTTACCTAAGGGGTATAATTATACCTGCAACGTATTTCCCAAGAACTTTTCACTCTTTCAGTTTTCTGCTTCTGCGCATCCAAAAACCAGCTTAGATATAGTCTTATAAGTGTGTGATCCAGAGGAAATGTGAGACGTATCACTGATTCCCTCAAGTTCCCAACAACTGTCCTATGTTTTATAGCTATCTATAGCTATGTAGTTGACAATAAACTACTTCATAAATGTCAGCCATTTCTCACAAGTTTTACATTGCTTGCTTTCTACCTGTGAAATACTTAGAGAAATGACTTTAATTTTTTCTAAGTTAGTTGTAACAAGCAGAGAAAATTTGATTTTTAAAAAATTTCTTTCAAAGAATGTTTGACTTATGTGGTAACCTACTTCCTAAACCGGAGATTCGTGAAGTTTGGTGAGCAGGTAAAATAAATTTTTTATTTTAAATTTAGGATCAGCAGTAGACTAATCAATCTGTCTTTGTGGACCTGGAATGCAGCTCTAGGAACTCTAGTCCCTCTGTTCTACGTGGGGCACCCCTATCTGGAGCATCCCTGTTGGGGGCCTTTTTATTCCTTAATTGGTATAACTCCTATAAGTGGAAAATTCTGATGCTGAAAGCATCCATTTCTCATTCATTGAATGAGAATAGAGTTCTCTCAGTCAGCTATCTGCGGTATCACTAAACTGAAGCATGCCCACTGTGATAAGCCAAAAGAATCAAGAGCTGACCTAAAAGGATGGAGGAAAGAAAGAATGTATTGAAGAAGGTGAGTTTGGAATGACAGGAAAAAAATTAAATGATAGTAAGAGAGCAGAAAAGAATCTCATGAATTGAAGCAAGTTATATAGCTTTGTTTCATATGGAATAACAGCAACAAAATGAGAGTAAGCATGTTTCAGTAAATGTGTTCTCATCTAGGAAGACGAATACGGAAGAGTGGCTATTTCGCTTATTTTGACAAATGTTTATTTATTTATTCAGTAAATATTTATTGAGTACCTAGTATTGTCAGTTGTTTTTGATTTTAGTATTTAGCTAAGGAGTAGATATGTATATACAGATTTACAACACCTAATACATCTTTAAATGAATATACTGAGTCTGAAGTTGCTTATCCTCTTTCCCCTCTGTTTTGAACATTGCTATGATTTCCTTCCGTCCTCTCCTTCCTTCCTTTCTGTTTTGGTTGTGGGTAAAACTCATAGGACATAAGCTTGTGTCACTGTGGCTGATTTCTCAAAATATTGAATAATGATTTTAGTTAGACTACTGACTCCGAATAATAGAATATATCCTAACTCTGAGCATGTTTTATGTATTTGTCTTTAACTGATCCTGATAAATATCTCCCCTTGGGCCCCATCCTGTTTGCTCAGAGAATAATTTGTTCTGGCTTTTATTCAATAAATGAATCACCAAAGTGTCCCAGCATGTATTAGAAACCATTAAATACGTGGGAAGGTTTTCACCAGTGGAGTCTGTTTTATCTATTTAGCCAAATATTTCCTTATTCACGCAATCCAAAGAAGCTGCTCAAAATTATATTTTTTGGTAAATATCTGTGCATGCTTCTGTCATAACTTATAAAGCTTCATTCCAGTTTAAAATATTAGGTTATATCTCTTCCTTTAAAAAATAAAATTGTCAGAATTTTTCCTTCTAATTCACTCATTTCTTATCTTAAAAGAAAAATCAATTACTCTTTGTGGTTCCAAGGTCTATACTTATCACATTCAACCTTCCTCCACTTCCCTATCAAACAATGAAAACAACAAAGAAACAGACTCAAGAAATGCAAAGAAAGAGAAAAGAACAACTGTAGGCACTAAAGCTTGATTTGATATCATAATGACAGAATGGAAATTACTTTAACAAACTTTGGCTTTACATAGGAGGACTGCATCTTTCGGATTTGGGTAGTCAATAGGAAATACAAATTTATTCAACATATTTTCTAATAAATATTTCATACTGTTTTGAGGTCAACTTTACGGCTTATCACAGATGCACACTTCTTAAATGACGGTTCTGTAAAAGGAAGAGACTACCAAAGGTCACATGCTGCTATCACTTCATACTTACAGCGACTGCCTCCAGGATTTGTTTAACAGCATCTGCAGCATCTCGTTCACTATAATATCCTTTTTCCACAATCCTAAAAAGAAACCATGAAAAGCTTCTCAGACACGCACATTCAGTTGAATGGATGTTAAATGCGGTTAATTGAATTAACATGAAAGAAGATGTATCTAAACAATTACAACAGACTACCATAACACCAGGGGAAGGATTTCCATAGATTTGCACTCTAGAAATCTTTGGGTTTATGTAGGAAAATGCAAATCACTTGTTTTGCCCAGGCTTGAACTGTCTATCCTATTTGAGGACAAAAATTTCTTTGTTTTTAAACTTTGTATTGCAAGTCATTTTAAACATATACCCAGTAGACAATACCATGAACCATCCCATGTAACTGTCACACAGCTTCAACAATTATTAATTCATGGCCAATGTTATTTTATCTATCCAATTAGTTATTCTTCCTCATTATTTTGAAGTAAATATCAGACATCATATAATTTAATTCGTAAATATTTAAAGAGGTATCTCTAAAAGATAAAGGATCTTTTTTTTTTTTTTAAGATTTTATTTTTTCCTTTTTCTCCCCAAAGCCCCCCGGTACATAGTTGTATATTCTTCGTTGTGGGTCCTTCTAGTTGTGGCACGTGGGACGCTGCCTCAGCGTGGTCTGATGAGTAGTGCCACGTCCGCGCCCAGGATTCGAACCAACGAAACACTGGGCCGCCTGCAGCGGAGCGTGCGAACTTAACCACTCGGCCACGGGGCCAGCCCCAAGATAAAAGATCTTTTAAAAGTCATAACTACAATGCCTTTCTGGTGGATATAAATTATAATTTCTTAATATTATCAAATATGCAATGCTTCAAATTTCCGATTGTCTCAGACATGTTAAAATTTATTTGTTTGTTTATTTGAATCAATATCCAGATTAGGTCCAAACAATTTGATTGGTTGATATGTGTCTTATTCTCCTTTTACTTGTAGCTCCTCTCCCCTCACCCCCATCCAACTCATTTTCTTTTCCAAATAAATGACTTGCTCTTTTTGCATGGATGTGGGTGAAGAATTATTCTTTAAGTTAAAGTCTTTTCTTTCTTACTTTCAGGAATGTTTTCCTGAATCAGAATGCTTTATATTTATTTTCTTCCATTGCTTTGGTTTTCTTCTTTGGGGAGTGCAATTATACACATATAAGAATTTTTCTACTTTTGATTTACATCTTTCTTTCTTCTAGGCTTCTCTTAATTTTAGTTTATTTTGCAATATTAAGTTACAGTTTCATCAATTTTGTGGGCATATACTCCTGACGTGCTTTCACTGCCTAAAGGATCCTTATTCTGTGCTCTCCTAATTATTTGTATTGGAATTAACTGAGACACCTCTCTGTTGCTGCTTATTTTTAAGTCAGATTCGTTTTCTCCACCTTTTGACAGAATGATTGGTCAAGATATCTTTTCCAGTTTCACGGCACTTGACTTTCTGATTATTTTCATGAAGCATTCAAAAATATGACCTCATGCTGTCTGAGATCTCCTCTCCTCCATCTGGAACTTTATTTCCTTGCCTCTAGCATCTCTACTCTGATTTTTGGAGTCTCTTCCCAGCAGCTTCTCCTAAATATGGGGCTTTTTCCTGAAGGGGCTTCAGATATTAGTTTCAGGAGTTCTCAGGGCCTTTACTACATTGTTCTCTTCACACCTTACTGTGGGTGCAGCCCTTGCGCTTCTCAGAAATTTGGATGCAAAAAGCCCTCACAATTTCAGTTCCTCCTCTTGTCTTGGCCCATCCTGCTTCCCAATGATTTGGAGATTGGAGTGTTCTCCTGTTCTCAGGTCATCACATGTCCCCTTGCTTCCTTTGCTTCCTCTTACTTAGATGCTAATACCACATGGCTCTGGCAATTGTCCTAAGTTTGTCCTCGTTTACTTGTATTTTAGGCTTCACGGGGATACCTTGTTATCTGGTTTAGTTATAGATATTGTCTGTGAGGGTTTTGGCTTTTCTGCCCTGGTTTCTCTGTCTGCTCTTATGGGGATATTTGGGAAGACTGAAAAACTACCTTCTTGCTGTTTCTATCTTCCCAGAATTTCAGGACAAAACACATTTTTGATAGCACTGTAGATTACCAATTTGAAGAAAATGTTTTCAGCTGATAAAAAGTTTGTGTTAAAGACCTGTTTGAAAAACGTCAATTCAAAACACGAAAGAGACAAAACTTCAACAATTTCTGTAATTTTGCACTGAAATTTTTCTTAGGCTGTTAATATCTCAACTAGCACAGTTATTTTTCAGAAAGTATCTTTCTTTTTTTATAAATGTTGTGGGAAGAAGGTGTAAGTTCTCAAAGTAGTTTGTGTTAAAAGTTGAATTTAAAATCTAGAAAATTTTCCAAAACAGAGGATGGAGGGTGAGGAAAAGCAGAACAGAACAGATATGACAAAAATAAAAAGACATATTACAAGAAGATACTTCAATGATCATAATTATCAAAATTCATAAAAACTGCATTACTGCAAAAATTTCAATTATTTTATTTTGTCCATTCACTCATTTAGAAGATTATCAAAAAAATACAAACTCATCATCTTTTTAAAAGACAAAAGATGAAATATCCATCCTCACCTTTTTATTTATTGGATACCTGTTATGTAACAGGGTTAATAAATTGTGAAAATAGATTACAATGTTCAGAGGATGACTATTAATTGGTTCTTGAAAATCAATTTTCATATATTTCCTTACAAGAATACAAATTTTTCCAATTCATGATTAAGTTACATAGCCTACTTACTAAAAATTTAATTGAAATAATTTCTTGAATTATACTCTCTGAACATTTAAAAATAAGTACAAGAGAAGGAGAAAAGAAGGACTCTTGTGTCAAAGTAAACTGAGAAGTTTGGCTACCATTACATCATCCTCTGCATTTTGCTCTACATGTGGATTTTGTGGTACATCCATCAGTCAACACAAATATGTAATTAGTGTCTCCTCTGTGCGCTGCACCTACAGCCTCAGCAGCTTGACTTTCTTCAATTCTGTTAAAGGAAGGGAGTTGTTACAAAGATGATGGAAAAGAATGGCTCATAGTCAACTTTCCTTCCACTTCCCATTCTCCCCAGAAGAGGATAAAATCAACTATCTCCTGGCCTGCAAAAAACAGTGTGGATTTTCCTCAAAGTCACTCACCAAGGCTAGAGCTTTACCACAACTGCTTTGTGGTACTCTTCCACGGGGTGGTACTCATAGCTTAGTCTCTGCAAGTAGTACTCCTTGGGGTTTTACAGACCTAGCCAGCACAACCATGCGCAGCATCCCTGATGAGAAACCTTCCTTGTCTGTTAAATACATGTTAGTTCTTAGGGCATCCCCAACTCTTAGAGAGGCAGTTCTTCACCAACTAGAATTTCCTTTCTATATTTTAGTTTATTATGAGGTCTCAAGCTTTGGCCTAAATATGGTGTTTATGTATTTTCATTTGGGTATGATTTAGGGTTAATTGTGTTCAGAATATGTCCTTATATGAAGGTCCAGGGACTGGCTGAAGAGTGAATCTTCTTAGGAGCTGTTTTCAGGTAGAATGAAGGGAAGAGGAGTAGGTGTAAGAAGAACAGTTAATGGAGATTTCACTAATTTTCCACGATATATGTTAAATTACTGAAATATTCGATTTAGTTAATGGAGAGGATGCATTCTAACAGATATATCCATTTATTCAGTAAATATTATGGAATGACTACTATGTGCTGGGCACTGAGTAGTGTACCAGACGTGGCTTTGTACTCATGAGGTTTCCCTTGGTATAAGTAGATAGGTAAGAGTCAACACAGTATGCTAAGTGCTGTGACAGAGGTATTAGAGAATGGCCTGAGAGCTCCTAGAAACGACAGGTAATCTATTTTGGAGGCTGTGCAGGGTAGGAAAAAGATTCCAGAGGTAGCTGTGTCTCAGCTCGGCCCTGAAAGGTGTATAGAAGTTTTCTAGCTACAGCGAGGGTAGGAGCTGAGGGTAGCATTGGTGTTGGGGAGGAGCATGGGATCAGAGAGGATGAAGACTGTTCTAAGAAAAAGGACCAAGACTACAGTAAGAATCAGAGTGTGAGGATGGGGTAGCGATATTTAACCAATATTTCTAACTATCTAATGTGAACCAGGTACTTCCTGGATAAATAAAGAATAAGATTTGGGTCCTGCACCAGATGAGACCACAGATTGTGGAGAAATTATTAACATCATCATAGATGTAATGCATGTTACAGTAAGGTTTGTACAGCCAAGGGATTTATTAAATCTGTTGTCAGAAACATCTCTAGAGTAGACATGTGGGGCAGGAACACAAAATGCAGGCGCCTTCCCCACCTCATCTCAGTGTGAACTCTGCATGCCACAGTGTGGCCCTACCATCAGAACTCAACGGCTTCTCTTCCAGGCTCCTTCTGCTAAAAGGAATTTTGTTCCCAGTTGATTTGTTCATCAGAGTGTCATGTCACAGAGTTAAGTTTCTGGAACTTAGACATTCACTTGAAATATTTTATAAGTTGAACTACCATTCAGGCCATCTGTGGCTGACTAGAAAGATCAATAGCAGTGAACTTCTCAAGTTGCAAATGCAGGTTTGTTGAACTAAGATTGCAAGTGAAGATATTAGTGACCAAGCAAAGGAAAATGAAATCCTGCAATCTTTTTCTCTCCATATAGGTAGCATGACTACAGTAGACGTGTTTGGCCAATGCCTTCTTTGGGATATTGTGGCAAAATTCTCACAAGATTGTTGCTTTGATCACCCACAGAGCCTAGCTCCAAGCCTTGTTCATAGTAGGCAGCCAATGAATATTTGTAGAATCAAGACTAATTGCCAAGAGAATGGATGCCAGAAAAATTTCAGACTGGGGACATCTGGACCACTCCTTTGCCTGTGTTCCTTATCATGGGAAACAAAAGCACTGGACTGAGAAGTGGTCCTCATCCCAAGTACACTGGCCATGGATCCAGAGGGAGAGCAGTCATGTAGATGCTTCCCAAAGCAAAATGCAATAGGTAGAAAGGTTATTGCTGGCCTTAGGAATAAACTCAG